GATGGCAAGGGGGACAAGGACGGGAGCCTGGAGGTGACAGGTCAGTTGGGGGAGGTGATGAAAGAAAGCGCTCGCATCGCCTACACCTTCGCCAGGGCCTTCCTGATGCAGCGGGACCCCGCCAACGACTACCTGGTCAGCTCACACATCCACCTGCACGTGCCCGAGGTGAGTGCTCGCCCGCCCCGCCCACCTGCCCGCAGCACCCCTGCCCAGCCGCCCCCCCACCCACCGGCTTCTCCCCCCCAGGGCGCCACCCCCAAGGATGGCCCGAGCGCCGGCTGCACCATCGTGACAGCTCTGCTCTCCCTGGCCATGAACCGGCCAGTGCGCCAGAACCTGGCCATGACAGGCGAGGTCTCCCTCACAGGCAAGATCCTGCCCGTCGGCGGCATCAAGGAGAAGACCATCGCAGTGAGTACTGGGGCCCTGCTCCTGGGTAGCCACCCCACTGGCATTCACTGCCTGGGGGCCCAGGCCGAGTTAGGGCCCAGGCAGCGTCCTTGCCTTAGAGCAGGCCTGGATCAAGCGCCCAGTTCGGCCGCACCAGCGTGTGGCAGATCGTAGCCGCCACGCACATCGTATCTGTCACATCTGGGCCTCAAAGAGATGAAAGTAGGGAGCCCATTTCACAGCTGGCCAAAGTGAAGCCCCCAGTGGGGAAGGCTTTGTCCAGGGCCAGGTGGCAGAGGGGCTGGATTCTCACCCAGGGCGGCCTGGCACATAGCCCATGTTCTGAGCCCACTCCTGGCTGCCTCCACAGGGGTTCTCAGCCTTTTGAAAACTCTGGCAGGTGTCCTAGAGCCTCCCCCCAGGAGTCCTCTCTGCTTATCCGTGAGCCCATGGGTGGGCAGCAGACAGTGAGCAAGACCAGGCTTGGGCGTGTCTGGTGGGTGCTCACAGGGTGAGGGCCGCCACCTGGGCTGTGGCCTGGCAGAGCTTCACTGCCTCCACCTGGCTCCTACCCCGCCCACTTCCCCTCCTGACATTCCCCATGGTGGCCTCTGATTCTGTCACAGCCATGCACACATCTCCAGCCCCTGGACCGCCACTTCTCTCCCTCCCTCCCTCCCCACTTTCCCTGTCCCCTGCTCTCCAGTCCTTCCCCAGCTAGCAGCTTAGACCGATTAGGGTGGGGTGGGGGTGGGGGACCCATGGGGGAGGGGTGGTGAACAGTGGCACCTCCCACTCCTGCACCTCCTTCCTCACTTGATAGCTGCTTACCTCAGAGGCTGAGTGGATGGAAAGGTGTAAGGTGACAAGGGCAGGGGCCCTGGGTGGGACAAGACGCGTGTGCAGGGAGGTGATGGGACAGGGCCTTGTGGGGCTGCACAGGGGACTTTGGTTTCTATTCCTCCCCACCCCCCCAGCGAGGAGCCCTGGAGGGCTGTGAGCAGTATGTCTGTAAAGTTCCACAGTGTGTCATGCTTTCAGATGTCCTCCAGACCTGTCAGGTGTCAGACATCAATGTCTAGTAGCAGGTCTCATGGTTAACCCGAGAGAGCACACCACTGTCTTCCCAGGTCCCAGAAACAGTGTGGACACCCTGGGGGTCGAGCAGTCCAGTCAAAGGCTGTGCGAGCAGAGGCCAGCTCTTTCCCTCCTGGAATAGTGGGTTCCTCTGCCCGGATAGCTCCCTCCCGATCCCTCCTGGACCTGACCAGAACCTCCATGGCCCTCCCTTCCCAGGCCAAGCGTGCTGGCGTGACGTGCGTGGTGCTGCCAGCTGAGAACAAGAAGGACTTCTATGACCTGGCCGCGTTCATCACCGAGGGCCTGGAGGTGCACTTCGTGGAGCACTACCGTGAGATCTTCCACATCGCCTTCCCCCACGAGGAGGCACAGGCCGTGGCCGCGGAGCGGTGACGGTGGCCGGAGCGGTGACGGCGGCCGCAGCAGCTCGGCAGTGGATGGGCTCAGGCCCCCAGGAACTGTGCACCGGGAGGAACAGAGGTCTCCTGGGATGGGTGGTCGAGCCACAGGAGGCTGAGCCCAGCAGCCTGGGCCCCAGGACCTTGATTATGGCTTAATCAGAGCCTGGTACATAAGAGCTATTTAATTATGATTAAACACCATTTCTGGTACCGTGTGGCTGCCTGCTTCTGTCCACTGACACACGGCCCAGGGAGGCAGCAGGCAGGCCCGAAGCTAGGTTGGAGCCCCATGTTTCTGGAAAGGCTTTATTAATTTGTAAGGGGGTACAGCAGCCAGTGGTGGGAACGCACTCAGTCCTTCTTGGCAGCCGCCTTCCTCATGGCGGCCAGGACATTGCTCAGCTCCTCTCGCTTCCTCTTGGCTCGGATGTGTGTCCCCACCTGCCGGGCATGGAGGGCCGGTCAGGTCAGCCTGGGTGCCCTGCCCTGCCCCCAACACCAGCAGCCCACCTACCCTTTTCTTGATGAACTTGAGGGCCCGCTTGTCCTTGGAGACCTTGAGCAGCTCCATCGCACGGCGCTCGTAGGGGGCGAAGCCGCACACCTCCCGGATCATGTCTCGCACGAACTTGGTGTGCTTGGTGAGGCGCTAGGGGCGAGGGACTGTCAGGGCGGGGGCTCTGAGGTCCCAGTAGGCCTCCCTGCTTTCTGGCTGAGCACCTTAATTCCCTCACCCCCCCCACCCCGTGTGCCTCAGTTTCCCCAGACGTATGACAGGATGACAGTCCCCTCCTCGGGCTGTGAGGACTGAAGGAATTAACTGAGATAAAGTGTTCGAAAGTAGCCATCGTGGCGAAACAGTTAAGCCAGCCAGAAAGTCTTGGTTTGAACCCACCTACCCAGCAGCTCCAAAAGAGAAAGACCTATCTGCTCCCATAAGGGTTATAGCCCAGAAAACCTATGGGGTAGCTCTGCTGTCACATGGGGATGCTATGAGTTGACATCAGCTCCGTGGCACCCAACAGAGCATCTGACCGTACAGGGTACAAGGAAACACAAATCCTCCAACCACCCCGAGTCCAACCCAGCCCTGTCAACCTATTTTATAGATAAATGACAAGGCTGTATAGAAGCCTAGCCAGGCCCCCCGTTCCAGCTCCCTCCTGCTCCTGGCCCTTTTGCAGAGGCTATTCTCCTGGCCTGGAGTCCCCTCCCACTGGGCACAGACACACAGGTAGTCAAGGCTACTTGAGGAACGGCGCCTGCAAACCCCACACACTGAAATTCCTCAACGTGACACACAAGGTCTCATCTTTCTCCTCCAAATTACATCAGCCTTTACCCCTGCTGTTCCAGGTGGCCAGGAATGCCCCCTCCCCGCTTTCCACTACACGAACTCCTACTCAAACGTCAAAACTCGCTGGGCTCCTACACTACGCGCCCAAAGTTGCTCCGTCTGCTCCAGCCTCGCTCATACGGGCTGGGAAGACGGAAGTTTGTGGCCCAGATGGGTGCTCACCACGCGGGCGACCAATGGGCATCTTCCCTCACTGGTCTGACAAGTCTTAACAACCCCCTTTCCTAAGCTCAACATCCCCCATAGCTCCCCACTTCCCTCTAAGAGGCCCCCAACCGCTATCACCCCTGAAACCGGGACGACACTCACCCCGCGGCGGCGGCTGTGCCTCGGCTTGCTAACGTTTTTAGTCACCTTGTGGCCCTTGTTGAGGCCCACGGCCATGGGGTAGCGCACAGCCATGGCTGGAACAGGGATGGGGAGAGGAAGTGGAGATCAGTACCGGCTTGGTCTCCGCCGCCCGGAACCCCGCGCCCCTGCTCCCTCGGGATCGCTAGCTGCACCCCGCCGTACCCCAACCCGTGCCGCAGCTCCTGGGGGCCCGATGGTGGCGGATCCCGACCGCGCCAGAACCCACTTACTTGCTATTCTTCAATGGCTGCTATGACGGAAGGAAAGGTGCCGTGCGGAAATCTGGGATATCTACTCTCTGCCAGAGGCGCGGGCCAGAGAGGCAGGAGAGGAGCGTGCTCCCCCTCGCGGCTGGAGGAGTCGCTGCGGACTTCCTGAGCAAGCGCGATTGGGCTCCCTTGTGCGTTGGCGTTCGCTGGGCTGGGTTGCGGCAGAGACCAGTAGTCGGGCCCAGTGGGCGTGGCTGCAGCTGCAATGCCTGTCTCTCTGCCTCTGGACTGCGAGTTCGAATCCCAATTCAGCCTCTTTCTGGCTGTCCTTATGTCAGCGACTTCGCCTGTCGGAACCTCAGTTTTTCCAAGTATAGCATGAGGGCAATAACAACAACTCCAAATGGCTGAATGAGATATAACGGTACCTGGCACAGAATAAAGCTTCCATAAACGGGGGTACTTGTTCCATCATATATTGGGCCAAGCTCTCGAATCGGTTTGAGGAGGCGATATGGTATAGTGCCCTCTGGTGGCATTGGATATAATTTTAGTTGCTGCACGAATGGGGAAGCCTTGGTGGTGCAGTAGTTAAGAGCTCAAGCTGCTAACCAAAAGGTCGGCAGTTCGAATCCACCAGCCGCTTCTTGGAAACCGTATGGGGCAGTTCTACTCTGTCCTATACGGTCGCTATGGGTCAGAATCGACGTTTTTGCAGGAATGGGACACTTAAAAAAGAACCTGAAAGCAAATCCTTTGCAGTCTAGTCGATTCCGACTCATAGTGACCCTATAGGACAGAGTAGGATTGCCCCATAGGGTTTCCAAGGCTGTAACTAACAGCAGGAAGAAGTACAACCAGAATGCTCCTTAGAAGCAAGGATGGTGAAACTTCTCACATACTTTGAACATGTTATCAGGAGGGACCAGTCCCTGGAGAAGGACATCATGCTTGGTAGAGGGTCAGTGAAAAAGAGGAAGACCCTCAATGAGATGGATTGACACAGTGTCTGCAACAATGGGCTCAAGCATAGCAACCATTATAAGGATGGTGCAAGACCAGGCAGTGTTTTATCCTGGTGTACATAGGATCCTTATGAATTGGAACTGACTCCACAGCACCTAACAAGTAGAGTTGGGAGTACTTGCCCAGGTACACCCTCCAGGCCAAATTGGAAGCACAGAAGGAATTTGAACAACAGATACGCAAAGGAAAGGAGGATTTTTATTAGAAAACAGGAAGCTGGGCCCAGCCCAGGAGAATACACTCTCCCTCCTCGTCCTCCAACCCCGGCCATCAGGTGGACAGGAGAGAAGCTCCCCGGGGATGTCACAGGCACAGAGATGTAGCTTAGGGGAGCTGGCAGGGGCTGGGGGCTGCTTCAAGGTGAATAGAAGGAACAAATCAGGGACTTGGCAGTTCTTGTGCGAGCTGGAGAGAGCCCCAGAGATGGCCTGGGTGGTGGTGACCTGAATGATGTGGCCAGGGACCTAGACTAACTCACGTCACCTCTCCGAGCCTCAGTTTTCTCATCTGCAAATGGAATCAAAGCATCCTCAATGACAGTGGGAAAAAACGATTAAGGCTTTTGAACTCCCTGACAAGCACAGCACGGGGTCCGAGCGCACACGCTCAGAGCTGTTGCGATTGATTCCAACGCTGGCAGTTTCCTTCGGAGTTTCTTTTCTGTCTGGATGAATCCACTTGGGCTCTGGCCAGTCTCTCAAAGGTGTCGCCGTCTGTGTCCCGGTCCCAGGGACGGTTTGGTGGAGCTCCCTCTCGGAAGATGAGGAGCGCCACGCTTGGGAGCTCAGGCAGCCGCTGCGGCCGTCACGTTGAGCTCCTGGCGGATGAACCAGGCCCGCGGGCGCGGCAGCCAACCCGGAAGCAGACACAGCAGGTGGAAGCGCCGCGGGTAGAAGACGCCAGAGGCGCGCGTGGCGCCCCCTCGGACCACGGCCAGGGCTGCCTTGGGCCCCGGAGCCGCCCGGGCCCTCGTGACGCCCCTAGGGACGGGAGGGCGCGGTGGCGGACTGCGGCTGGGGCTGGACGGCCCCCGCAGTCCCGGGCCGGGCCCAGCCGCCCCCGCCCGGCCTCACCTGACTCCCTCGGCGGCCGAGGCGCGATCCCGGAGGCCCAGGATGCACATGGTGACTGCCACGTTCACGTCCTGCACGTCCAGTTCCCGCCGCAAGGAGCCGAAGAAACCGTCCAGCGCAAACTTGGCCGCCGAGTAGGGGGCGGAGAACGAGGCAGGCACGCGACCTAGGGGCGCGGCATGGACGGGGTTGACAGGCTACACGCTGCTCCTCCTCCTCCAGGAAGCCTTCCCGCCTGCGGCCCCCCAGGATGAGTAATCACTCCCTCCCAAAATCCCTCCCCAAGAACCGGACCCATGCGTACGCACCGAGCAGCGAGGACACCACCACCAGGGAGCCCTTACTGTCCGTCAGGCTCGGCAACGCCAAGGAAGTCAGCTGTACGTAGCTCAGAAAATTCACCTGGAGGAGGCAGGCAGGGGCGGGGCCTAGGATAGCAGGGGCGGGCCCCAGAACCCCAAAGGGGCAAGGTCCTAGGCAGGGAAGGGCGGGGCCAGAGGATTGGGAAGGGCGTGTTCCCGGACGGGAGGGCGGACCAGGGTCGTGGGGGTGGACCAGGGCCGCGACGGGGGCCGAGCACCTGCATGAGCCAGCGCGTCCCCTGGGCGCTGCGGGCCCGCGTGCCGGCCGGGGTGGCGCCGATGTGATTCAGCACGAGGTAGTCCAGCCCGCCTGGCCCAGAGAGGCCGGTTAGTCCGGGGCCAGCCCCCGAGACCCAGCTCCCTGGATGCAGTGAGCTCTGCCCCAGTAACGTCCCTTGTGCTTGGGGAGGCCCCGCTCCGGAACCTATTCCCTGAATCCCGTAAGGCTTCGTCCCTGGTCCAAGGAGGCCCAGTCCGGTGTCCCGACCCCTGGATCCAGCGAGGTTCCGCCCTTAGCCACGCCCGACCCCATAAGTGCTCGCCCCCAGGACGACGGTAACTGCCACACCCCCACCCGTTCATGTCCTGCCCCAAGGCCTAGGCCCCGCCCCTCACCCAGCATCTCCAGTGCAAACTGCACCACGCGCTGAGGCGCCTCAGGGGAGGCCATGTCCGCAGCGATGTAGAAGACCTTGGGGGCGCCCAGCTTCCGGCAGTTCCCTACCACCTGGGGGAGGGGGGCAGAGCTGCCCGTGGGCTCCTCCACCTCAGCTGCTCCCTCTCTATCTACCGGCCGCGTTGGGTCCCCAGACTGAAGCCCCCTCCCCTAGTGTGAGCCTCGGGTCCCACTCAACATTGTCCCCAAAGCTTTAGCACTGAGGTCGTAAACTGGAGGCCCCTGGGCCAGAATGACCTGCTGACGTTTTGTTCGATCAATTACCAACATTTAAAACTCGGGAGATTTCACATCCATCTCCAGAGTTCTGGCTTCTCTTGAAAATTTGGAAGGTTTGTTCCCAAGAGCCACAAGTTCGCTTGGGACAATGGGCTGTTGCTAACAAGGACCGGCCCACCTTCCTCTTGAGAACACGGGCTTTAGGTGGCTGTTGGACGTTACCAATACTCCCCTTTATTGCTTTACACTCACTGCCTTATTGAATCAACACATCACCACAACCCACGAAAAGAAACTTTTATTGTCTCTAATTTGCAAACGAGGAAACAGAGGCTCAGAGAGGTTAAGCAACTTGCCCAAGGTCACACAGTAAGCCTGGATGGGTGTAGGAATTCAAGCCCAGGCTCTCTTTTGCATCCCACCCCCACACCGACCAATGGGGTGGCTCACCTTCTGCACAAGGGCCTCGGTGTGGCCGGTGAGCACCAGGTGGGCGCCCAGGCGGGCGTAGTGATAAGCCAGCTCCTCGCCAATGCCAGCACTGGCCCCTGTCAGCAGCACACGGGCTCCCTGGAGGCTGGCTGGCAGTGGGCAGGGGTGGTCAGCCTTCAGGGTGGACAGGACAGCAGGCCCAGTGCCTCCTCACCTCCCCTAGCCCTGGGCACTCACCTGGGTCAAAGTTGTCATCCCAATAATAGGCGAAGAACAGGGCCCCGAGCCCCGTGAGGAGCAGCACCTTCATGGCCCTCACTGGGCCTCCAGTGAGCCAAGGGAAGCCGGCACGGGCCTGGTCCACAGCCACACCCGTTTCCCCAGGTGCACCTTTGTTCAATGAGCATTTGGTGATGGCCTTGGACTTGTCCTCTTCTCTACATCTCCATGGCCACCACCTGGTCCCAGCCACCATCACGGCTCACCTGAACCACTGCACCAGCCTCTTCCCGGTCCAGAGCCTCCTCCCTTCACCCAGCAGCTGGATCACATCTTGTCCCAACCCTGCTGAAAATCTTCCCCTTTCATTTAGGATAAAACTCCGACTCCTCAATGGCCAAAGAGGTCCTGCATGGACCAGCTCCTCCCCGCCCCCTTGCTCATTCTGTTCAACCACACCACCATGCTACCCCAGGGCTTTTGCACTGGCTGTTCCCGCTACCTAGAATGCTTTCCCCATGCATATGCAAATGGTTGCTCCCTAATCTCCTAGAATTATTTTCAAGGGGGCTTCCCTTCCTAAATGGAGCCCTGGTGACACAGTTTGAATCCACCAGCCGCTCCTTGGAAACCCTATGGGCCAGTTCTATCTACTCTGTCCTTGTAGGGTCGCTATGAGTCGCAATGGACTCGATGGTAATATGTTTTCCCTTTCTAAAGCAGCCCCTTCCTCAACATTTGTCATCACCAGAAATTATTTCGATAATTTGGTACGTGTTCACTGCCAAAAGAAATCAAACCGCGCTCTTCTTGCTCCACCCTCCCAGGGCTCCCCACTGCCCTTGGACGAGGCCAGGCTCCTCACCTCAGCCCACGAAGCCCAGTGGGTCTGGCCCCTGCCCACCTGTCCAACATCCTGGCCACTACTCTTCTATCCGAATCTTTCCGTTCTCAGAAAAGGGAACTCCTCACCCTTTGAATGCGCTCCCACCTCTCCCTGCTTCCAGGGAAGTCCATGAAGCCCATCAGCTCCCCCCACCCCCTGCCCTCACCACAGGAGCCCCACGGGGTAGGTGGGGTGGTGGAATGGATGAACGGATGGATGACTAAAGCAGCTCTAAAGAATGGGGGCACCTGATCCTCGCACAATCCATAGGGTCCTTAACCTCGCCGGGCCTCAGTTTCCCCTCTGGACAAACGGGGCGTGCGACCCGCTGCGCACCTCCAACTGCGCACTCACCCACTCGGGCCTCAGTTGCCCCCGCCGTCCTGCCCGGCTCGGGTCCCAGCCTGGGAATCGCGAGCACGACCCTCCCTCCAGCCTCCCTTTCGCGCCGCTTCAGCTCGAGCACCCGACCACTACCCCTCCCGCAGGGCCGGAGTCACGTGAGTCCTAACCCGTCCTGGAGAGGCCCGGCCGGGGGCACTCCGCGCCAGACGTTGTCGGGGCAACGGCCTCGGTCCTGGCTCTCCCACTCCCGGCGGCAGCCCCGGCCCCGCCCACTGGGCTGAGGCCCAACACCCGTTGTGAATCACGTGACTTCGGGCCCGCCTCCGTCGAACTATGCCGCCATCGCGTTGCCGTGACAACCTCCTGCTAGGCGCTCTCCCCTAGGCTTGGGTCCTCAGTACCCCGCGCGGGCGCGGGTTGAGTCTTACGAGCCGCAGCATCTCCTTCGGTCACCCTTAGGCCTCTCCAGACGTCCGATACCTCTCTGCTCTTGCGCTGCCAGGGCCCAGCCGAACTGGACTACATTTCCCAGGAGACTTCGCGGCCAGGTGAGACTTTCGACCGCTCTACGGGGCGCTACATTTCCCAGCAGCTTTGCGGCATCCTGGGCTGTGAAGAGTACATTTCCTACCAGCACTTCGCGGTGTGACTGCAACCGTTCTCTGGCGTCTTCGAGGTAGGAAGTCTCCGCCTCTGACTCCCGGAGGCCTTTGCGGGTGGCAAGAGAGACTACCCCTCCCAGAGGCCTCTGCGGCGCCTCAACCGGAAGTGTCGGGCGAGCCGAGTGTCCTTGCGCGTGGAGTGGAGCGATCATGGTGGCCAGGGTGTGGTCGCTGATGAGGTGCGTGGGACCACCGGGCGGGTCCCGGATCCCAGAGAAAGTCCCTTCCTGCGGGCACCACCCCCTCCGGTTTGGTCCAGATCTGCTCTTCGCTTCCCGTAGTGTCAGGCCTTCGTAGCCCAAATAGGGAAACTGAGGCTAGGCGGGGCGGGCTTCCCGAAGCCGCCCAAGCGCCTCCCATCTACCTTCCAGCGAGCCCACAGGGTTCACTGTAGCCGAGACCCCTCCGATCCTCAGTTGTCTCCGCTGTAAAACGAGAATACCCAGGGATCCTTCCACACACGTTTATCTTGCGCGCAGCGTGTGACGTGCAGGAAGCGCTCGGGAACACTTAGAAGCCCCCTCCCTGGGCTGGAGGGCAGAATGCCTTCACTGTCGCCTCCTCTCCGCGAGACGTTGAGTGACCCATTGCCCGTTTCCGCTTCTCAGTTTACCAATTTATTAAATAGAGTTGAGCATTTTTGTTTGTCACACGGTCAATATTAGGGGGTCTGTGCTTCCCCTGGGTACACGTGTCACCGTCTGGACTCTGATCCCCCGGGAGGGTCCAACTTCTCCCTGTGGGCATGGACCCTCGAGCGTGGGTGGCCAGCGGTGTCCGCTGAGCTTCTGTGGCTCCCGCCTATGTCCGCAGGTTTCTTATCAAGGGCAGCGTGGCAGGGGGCGCAGTCTACCTGGTGTACGACCAGGAACTGCTGGGGCCCAGCGACAAGAGCCAGGCGGCCCTTCGGAAGGCGGAGGAAGTGGTCCCCCCGGCCATGTACCAGTTCAGCCAGTACGTGTGCAAGCAGACGGGCCTGCAGATACCCCAGGTATCCTGGGCTGGAGGGAGGCCAGGGCTGGGCGGGGGGGTCAGCCCTGGGGTCTCCCTGGGCCCCTGTGTGCCCAGGTGGACCTGATTCTGAGGCACATGGTCTTCTCTCTGCCTCTGGACAGAGCTGTTGGGCCCTTCTCTTCTCACCAGCCCCTTCTCTGCCTCTCTTCCCAGCTCTCACCCCCTCTGAAGCTTAACTTTTCCCTCCGAGACTCCTGGAATTCAGGTAGGCCCCTGGGCCCTCTCTTTGGAGGAGTGAGGGGCGGCCTAGCCTAGGCCCCAGATCCTGCGTATGCCGCCATGGGTCTAAAAGAGGAGATGGGATAGAGACTCTGGGGAAGTGGGCGGCAGGGGCTGTGCATTGCCTAGCTAGAATAGGGGCCAAGGATTGGGGTCTGAGCTCGTTATGTGATGTTCCACAAAGCAAGACCCTAACTCCTCTGGCTCCAGGGTGCTACAGATGGTTAAGCGCTGAGCCACTAGCCAGAAGGTTGGCAGTTCAAACCCACCCAGAGGGGCCTCAGAAGAAAAGTCTAGTGATCTGCTTCTGAAAGGTCACAGCCTTGAAAACCCTATGGAGCAGTTTTACTTTGCACACATGGGCTCACCATGAGTCAGAATCAAATAGAGGGCAACTAATAACAAGGCCCTCCTGTGCCTCAGTTTCCCCACCTGGAGCAACAGTGCAGAAAGCAGTGCCTGTAAAAGCCTTTTGAACTTAAGAGTGTCTGGGTCTGAAGGGCCTGGGTGGCTGGGTTGGGAGCCTCACCGGGCAGCTGCCTCCACCCGCTTCCACACAGGTATCCTCACAGTGATGTCAGCACTATCGGTGGCCCCCTCCAAGGCCTACCACTACTCCAAGGCAGGCTGGGACTACGTGAAGGAGCGTGCCAAGGAATATTCCAAGTAGCATGTCAGATGCAGCCCCTGCCCCAGCCAGGATGGGGGCAGGGACGCCACGGACCTGAAGACTCCAGGCTGGGGCCCCTCTGAGCGCAGCTCATGGCCTTGCAGGCCCAATAAAGGACTTCTGAAGTGTTCCCGACTGGCGTGGTGGGCCTGGGACTCCTCGGGTGCTGTTTGGGCCTTGGCCTGGGGAGTCCGGGCAGACAGTGGTGCTCTGGAGACAGTGCTCAGCATTCTGGGAAGGCTGAGAAGGTACTGAGGGTGAGCCCAGGGTGGGGGGCTCGGTTCTTGGTGGGCTGTACTTTGGTGGGGTATTCTGGGAGCTGGGGCACAGGAATCCGTGCCTCCTCCACCCTCGGCCCCAGCTGAGGCTGCTGACTCTCGCTCCTGCTCAGCTGGCTAGTCTACTGCTGCCCTCCTTCCCCTGGTCCCCAGCCCCGTTCCACCCTGTCCCTGGCAACCCTGGGGATTTCTGGAGTGGGCAGGTCTAATGGGCACTGCCATTCGGGGGCCCTGCCCCCCAATACCATCTCCCTAGGAAAGCCCTCCCTAATGCCCCGGCCTACATGCGCTCAGCTGCCGGACCCTGCTCTGGGTCCCGATGGGCCTGGTGAACTGTGTGTGTGTTCACCACTGGGCTGTGGGCCCGTCCGGGTGTCCCTGCTGGGGCTCCAGCACCCAGCCCCAGGGACACCACCGGAAATGTGCTGAAGATGGGAGGGAGCTTGTGCCCCGGAACCAGAGTCCGAGGTCCCAGACGGACAGGGTAGGGGTGGGCTTGGGGGAAGCGGAGACCCCGGTCAGGGAGCCCCACCTGGAATGGAGTCCTCTGCTCCTGATGCTCCTCCAGGTTGGAGCTCACGTGGACCATAAGCCAGGGGCAGCAGGGAGGTGGAGATGAGGGAGCAGACGCCTGGGTGCCTCCCACTGTCTGACCTGGCGCTCGGCTCCCCAGGAGAAACTGGTGCGCCTCCATCTGCTCCAGGGAGGAGTGGGGAGGGCACCCACAGTGACCAGGAGACGCCTGGTCTCCGGGAACACGGTCTCTGGGTAGGTCTCCTGTGTCCAGTGTGCCCCCTGGACCCTTAGTGCCAGCTGTCCGGCTCCCCATCCTCCCTGGGCTTGCTGGGCCTCCGGGCAGGGCGAGCCGCCCTAGGGTGAGGGCAGGATGGGTTGGGGCTGGGGAGCAACCCTGGTCCTTAGTTCTCAGTCCTGCTGAGGAGAGAGCCCGTGCTGGTCATTGCAGCAGCCCAGAGTGTGACCCCCAGCTTGATAGAGGAAGCACAGGTCGGGCTGACCCCAGGAAGGAGCAGGCTCATGGACCCATTTTACAGATGAAGAAACTGGCAAGGCCAGATTCCAAGCCCACTCTCCCCTCCCTGGACACCCACAGACCCTGTGCTGGCCTGGCCCTCACACCCTTTTATCCAGGAAGGGGTTGTACGTGGCCTTTGGGATCCCTGGGCCCTCACGGCTCTCCTGTCATCATGCCGTATACAGAGGGAGTGAGAGACCTGGAGAGGGACAGTGACCTGCCAGGTGTCCCTGTTAGTAGGCAGACCCCACCCCGAAGTACAGTAACTGTTAACGGCACAATATTGGGTTATGTCTTTGTGGTGCCATGTCAAATTCCAGCAAACAGAAAGGGAAACCATCCGTTGCAGCCTGGAGAAGCAGCCACCGCTGGGAGGCTGCTCTCAGCCCTTCTGCCCACCCCACCTCCATCCAGGCACTGTGACCTGCAGCATCCAGGCCCTAGGTCCATGCTTGTCTGCCAGTTGCCACACATGGAATTGGTCCCAGCTGCCACTGCAGCCCAGGGTCAGGGGGCTGCCGGGGACATGGAATTGGGGCTCCAGAAGGGCAGAGATGGTCCCTGGGTGAGCAGGAACAGGTTAGGGAAGCATGTGGCCTTACCCACGGCCACATAATCTCACTGGTAGCATGGGCCAGGGCAGAGATTGCCCATTTTACAGATGATAAAAATTGAGGCCAGAGATGAACAGCAGCCATTTGAGATGACAGCTAGGCAGGGCTAAGTCAGACCAGCCCCAGGTCAGCCTGCAGAGTACAGAGACACCCCAAGCACTTCTTGGGGACCTAGGCCCTGCCCGCTAACCCTGGGGAGGTACAATTTGCCACACTTACTTGGCAAAACTGAGTCATACTCATTTGGACACAGCATCTTTGTATTTAGAGGACGAAATATGGTTCTTCTGGGGCAGGGGTGGGGATGTGTATTTCTTAAGGAACGCTGCTCCAAGCCGTGCCCCAGGGCCGGGGATACACCTGCAGCAGCTCGATGGGATTAGCGTGCCCATCGGAAGCCCCCGCCAGTTTACTGGTTCCCCTGCTGGCACTCACTGCTATCCTGGGTGACTTTCGGGCCCTGTGTATGTGGTGGGGGGAAGAGAGCCCCCCAGAGACTGATGTCCACAGTCACTGCCTACAGCCAGGGGTCAGCCACTGGCTCCCCAAGGCTGCCCTCCTGTCGTCTGCACAGACCCAGCATCAGGCCACGGACCCTCCCTCCCCACAGCTGCCCCCCCATCGTCCGTGCAGACCCAGCGTCAGGCCACGGACCCTCCCTCCCCACATCCACTCAGAACCACTTTCCCGTCCTCTCAAGTCTGTCACCAGAGCCAAGGCCTCCTCCCAGGTTTTCTGGCCGGGCCTGCCCCCTCCAATTTGTCTCCCGAAGTCCCAGTCTGGTCGTGTCACACCCCTGCTCAAAAGCCTTCTGTGGCTCCCCACTGCCCTCCAGCTGAGCCTAGGCTCCTTAGCAGGGCTCTCCAGGCATGCCGAGACCTGCAGCTCCCTGAAGCCAGCCCTCCTCCACAGCACCAGCCCCTGGCCACAACACTCCTGCCCCTGTACCCTGCTGTCTTCTCCCTGCTGGCCCGTGCTCCTCCTGCTCATACTTTAGACACTCCCTCCTCCAGGCAGCCTCCCCTGGCCCCTCATCCCACCCCTGGGCTGAGTCAAGTGCCTCCTCTGGACCTCCACGCCGTTTCCCATCAACTGAGGGCAAACTTTTTCCACCAAAGACCTCTTGGCCCACCTCCGGAGCCGAGGTGGTGGAGGTTTGACCCTGAAACCTAGGTGGTTTTTCCACCCTAGGAAATGAAGACAGCCCTGCCCGCTGTGGTCCCTGCAAGAGTTCTGATTTCCAGATGTTCCCAGGATGGTGCCTTCCTTTTCTTGGAGGACAACAGATGTCTGCAACCAAATGACTCCACTGACCCATGTCCTGCCTGCAGACTGCCAGGAGGCAGACAGCTCTCCTTACTTTCGCCCTGTCTCCATCCCTTTCAGTCTAAGCTGAGGGAATCTGCTGTGGTGGCTGACTAGACCCATCAGTCACAGGATTTCTCTAACAAAAAGATTGTGTAGCCAAGACCTTGAGGACACATTTTTTAGTTTGTACAACAGCATTTCCCAAATTGTTAGGTTCTGTTTTCATTCTGAAGAGTTCATCTCTATTTCTTACCTCTTCCATTTCACTGTCAACAGCAGGGAGAAACCACGATCCCCTTTATCTTACTTAGAAATCTCCTCAGGCAAACAGCCAAGCTCATCACTTCCAAGTTCTACCTTCCACCAAACAGGAGAACGTAATTCAGACAAGTTCTTTGCCACCTTATAGAAAGGGCAGGTTCAACTACACCCACTACAGGGGACACAAGCCATTGCCCAATGAGCCTCCTTGTTCCCTAAAAAAAAACACACATCCCCACCCCAGACCCACAACCAAATTTTGTCCTGTAAAGGTGCTATGAAAACATCCAAGTATGTCTCAGTTTTGGCAAGTGTGCAAGTGGCAATTTTAAGCTGTCACAACATGGACAGGCAGATGTGTTCATGAAGCTCTGAGCACAACAGGGAAACATCTTCTTTAAACGGCCATCAACACGTTATTGGTTAAATAAAACGTCACTCTTACAAAGCAGACCACCTGGGACTTAAGAATGAAGCAGCTCTGGTGTGTTCGGTGCCGTTGATTTTTGACTCAAAGTGACCATGTGACAGAGAACTGCCCTGTAGGGTTTTCAAGGTTGTTATCTTTACAGGAACAGATCACCAGGTCTTTCTCCCACGGAGCCACTGGGTGAGTTTGAACTGCCAACCTTTGTTTAGCAGCCGAGCGCTTAACTGTTGCACCACCAGGGCTCTGTGAAAAAGGTGTGTTGTTCTGTGATGAAATACAAAGTAGGGCATGATCCCATTTTTGTAAATAAAAATCTCTTGTAATCTTGCTGGAAAAACCCCCACCTTTAACACCTTGATGTCCTTCAATGGTTTGTCAGCCTATTTATACACATTTAGATGTAGTGGTATCAGTCAATACATACACAACTGAAAGACACTCATTAAAAACAGATTACTCATGCAATAGCATAGAATTCAAAAGGCTCAAATGTGTGCACAGTGAAAAATAAACCTCCTGTCTCCAGAGCAACAAGGGGCTGTGGGTCCCGAGTCTCCTGGCAGTGGTCGCATGCAGTTGACGGCCCTGTCTGGTGGCTGCCCTGTGCCTCAGCTGCCCGAGGCTCCACACAAGCGAGGTTTCTCAAACGTGTTTCAGGAAGAAAGGAGGATTTGCCTGGTGTAGCAGCTTTGTGCACTCGCTGCTCTTCACAAAGCCTGGAGGAGCCTTGGCATGTTGGCGGAGTGGGGGCACTGGCAGTATGAGGTGCAACACAGCCACAAAGAGCAGGGAAGGGCTGCCAAGCTTTGCTCCAGGCCTCGCACACACAGGGGTTGGGAAGGCGTGCACTGCCTGGAAAGTGCTTCTAGAAACTTCAACCACCCTGTTAACCTGCTGTTCTCAGTCCTCCTCTGAAGAGGGAAAGGTCTCTGGGGGGTGCAGTTTGCTCTGGGCCGCTACCCTACAGGTTGGGGTTTGGAACCCACTCAGCGGCACTGCAAAAGGCCTGGCGATGTGCTTCTGTGACGATTACAGCCAGGAAATCCCTATGGAGCAGTTCTGCTCTGTCACGCAGGGTTGCTAAGAGTCAAAACGAGACTCCACAGCAATAGGTTTGTTCTTTTTTGGCTTCTCTAAAGAGCTGTGCATGGCAACGTTTCGTATTGAGTTTTACAAAGAGGCGGCAATAAAAAAGAGACGAAACTTTAAGTAAAGGGTTATGTGAACAGAAACACATTTATTACAAAAAACCAAAACAAAAAACAAAA